CTGGGGGGAGGGTACCTTGGGGGAGGTAAATTTGAGGTGCCTAGGAGATAGGAGATATCCAAGGAAGGGAAGTCACATGGGAAGTCAGGTATTCACACCTGGGTCTTGAGATAAAAATTGTGTGTAGTGAACAAATGAGAGTCTGGAGATAGATGTGAGTATCCAGAGTGAGAGTGTAGGTGAAGAAGGTGTGTGCGGAAGGGGCCGGGGGACTTCTAGTCAGATGCACTGAGAATTCACACTTTGACCAGCCCGACCCTTTTTTCCCCCAAACACTACAACGAGAGTCTAAGAAAAACAAAAAAAGATGAACCCCTCCCCAAGACTAAAGCTCCAAAACGAATGAAGCAATGTTAAAAAGGCAGCCTCTGAATAACCAATGAAGTCACACTAAAATAAAAATTATAGAGTATTCTGAAAATGAATTTAAAATGACCGTTTAGGGACGCCTGGGTGGCTCAGTCGGTGGAGCATCCAACTTCAGCTCAGGTCATGATCTCACGGTTCGTGAGTGTGAACCCCACATCGGGCTCTGTACTGACAGCTCAGAGCCCGGATCCAGCGTCAGATTCTGTGTCTCCCTCGCTCTCTGCCCCTCTCCCACTCACGCTCTCTCTCTCTCAATCTCTCAAAAATAAATAAACATTAAAAAAGATTTAAAAAGAAAGAAAGAATAAAATAACCATTTAGGATTTGTATCAGGAATAGGCTTGACTCTGAGTAACTGAGATTCAAAATAACAGCAGCTCAAGCAAAATACGAGTTACATTTTTCTACTATGAGTACATTGAATACATTTTGGGGCCGATGCGGTGGCTCTGCCTCAGTAAGTCCCCGGGGAACCAAGCTTGATCCCAGCTCATCACTATCTCAGTGTTTGGATTATCCTCATAGTCTGGTGAGTTGGTAGCTAGAACTCCAGCCATTACGTCTGCATTCCAGGCAGTAGGATGGTGGAAAGGCACGTATCAGCTGTTTTTTGAAGAAGTTTTCAAGAAGCTGACACATGACACTTCCAACTATATCCTATTGGCCAGAACTTAATTAATGGAGAAGCCAAGAAACGTATTCTGTTATTACACGTAGCCAAGTGCCCAGTTAGAATCCAGGGGTTCTGTTACTGCGGACGAAGGAGGCAACAGATAATGAGGGATAATGAGCAGTCTCAGCCTTCGGATCCTTGAGGAAATGAAGGATAACACCCACTAAAAAGAACAAAACAGTGGATTTTTGTTTGTGTGTTTGAATTTCAAACCTCTGCTCTTCGAAAGATATCATTAAGAGGATGAATAAACAAGCCTTCGATTAGGAGAAAACAATTTGTAGGTCATATGTCTGATGATGGACTTGATCCAAAGTATATTTTCAAAAAACCCTCAAAACTCAATAATAAGGAAAAAACAACCAATTTCAAAAATGGGCAAAGATTCAAATATCTTCACCGGAGAAGATATGCAGCTGACAAGTAAGTGCACAAAATGATGTTCAACATCATTAGTCATCAGAGAAATAAAATTAAAACCACAAGGAGATACTGCTTCATACCTATTAGAATGGCTGAAATAAAAAAGACTGTTCATGCCAAGTATTGGCAAGCATTGGACCAGCTGGTGGGTCCATAGGCTGGTGTATGGAAATATAAAATGTTGCAGCCACTTTGGAAAACACGTCAGCAATTTCTTAAAAGTTAAACGTATACTTTCCACGTGACCCAGCCATTCCACTGCTAGGTATCTGCCCACAGGAAATGTGCATGTCTACAGAGAGATTTGTAACTGGATTCTCATAGCAGATTTATTTGTAATAGCTGAAAACTAGACACAACCCAAATGTCCATCATTAAGTAGATACAAAGGCAAATTGTGGCACATCCAAACAATGAAATACTACTTACCAGTACAAAGGCGTGAACTCGGATGCGCCCATCAATATGGACAAATCTCAGAATTGTGCTGAGCGAAAGAAGCCAGACATGGCTTCTATTTGATTTCATTTGTGTAAAATCCTAGAGAACACAGAGTAATTTTTAGCGACAAGAAGTAGCTTGCTGGTTGCCTGTGGACTGGGGATGGGAGGTATGGAAGGGGGCAGGAGGGGAGGTTCTGGAGCACAGAGACACTTAGGGGTGATGGATATGTTTGTTTTCTTGATTGTGGCAGTGGGTGTATACATTTGTCAAAATGTATCAAATGGGTACATTATATGTCAATTATACTTCAATAAAACCGTTAGGAAAGGAGAAAAGGAATGTGGCATTATGAAACAGAGTGGAATGAACAAAAGGTGGCTATGAAGATGCTGGGAATGAAAAATACTCATTGCATTAAAAGTTCTCATTTAGAAAGGAAGACCACAAAGAAAGGAAGAAGCTTAATATGTGGATAAATTCTCAACTAGACACAGTCAAAGAGAGAATTAGTGAATTGGAGGAGAGTTCTAAGGAATAGTCCCAGAGCACTGCCAAAAAGAGAGAGAGAGAGAAACAGAGAAAGGTAGTTAAAAGACATGAGGAATACTCCTAAATATGTTTCCTAGAAATCCTACACGAAGAAACTGGAGACAGTGACTCAGAAGCTGTATTCGTGAACGTAAGAGTTTTTCAAAATTTTCGAGAATTCAGGAAGTAGGTTTTCATCAAGTAATTAGCTCCTCGAGTAATGAGAATTCTAAGAAAATAAATCTCCACTTCAAAACCACAGAGGGAAATTGCAGAAAATCAAAAATGAAGGGCAAGTCTCACATTTTACCATAGATGGCCGACCCACAAAGGAACAACAATACGTTGCTGAACAGCCTAGGGGCAGCCTTTTGGGCGATCTTCCAGGTGCCGAAAGAAAATAAAACAACCTGCTTAGAATTCCAGACCCAGCCGAACTCTGATTCAAACGTGATGAGGAAATAGGACATTTTCCAGGAGAAAAGAGCCCGGCCCAACCCTGAGGCTGTTGAGGATTTAGAGGCTGGCAAGAGGAGGAGCCCTCTCACATCACAGGTGCTCCGTCATCCGGTGCTGGCCTCTGTGCCTCACAGAAGCTAGAAGAGAGAAGGGGGGCTGGATCCAACTTTCATGGTGGCCGTGCGTGGCTACTGGAAATGCTGCTCATTGGCCCCGTTGCTGGGTCTGTTATCAGCACAGGAGAGGAAGATGGGATTCCTGGCCCTACCTAGGGTTTCATCCTACAGCAGTGGGGGCATTGTAGCAGGAGGGCAAGAGGAGGGGAGGGGAGGTAGCAGACGGGCCAGGCCCCTGACCCTGGTGTGGGGAGGAGCCCAGGGACACGAGAGCCTCTGCAGGGCGGCCCCTTCTAGACTCTCTCTCTGTCTTCCAGATTGTGGACAAGAATAACCGCTACAAGTCCATAGATGGGTCAGACGAGACTAAAGCCAACTGGATGAGGTGAGTCCTGCTCTCTGCTGCTGATTTCCCGGGAGCCTTGCCCAAACTCTGGAGAGGAAGCCAAAGGAGTGTGCTGGGCCTCTGCGGTCCCCAGCGGCGGAAGCCCCTGAAGGCCCTGGGACTGCCGTTTGCAGGGTTTGGGATGTGTCTAGTTCTGGGGGACCCTCTTGCTTCCCCGGCCTTCCATCGGGGGGCTCCGGAAGAGGCCGGTGGGTTACAAGGACCCCTAGAGGCTTCACATTTGTCCCTGTGTCTGGAGTACCCAGGGCCCCCAGCTCCGGGCAGCATTCCCACCAAGGAGGGGCCCCCCTCCACCCAGGATCCCTCTCAGAGGGCAGACTCCTGACATAGGGGTGCAGGGCTGATCCCACTACAGCTGCCAACAGTTGTTTAAATGGCCTCCGTGGGAAAGGAGGCTCCCAGCACAGTCTCAGCTCAGTTTTGGATGGCCCTTGCTGCCCAGGCGTGAGTACTTTCAAGAGTGGTTTTACAGCGGTCTGGTGTTGGGGACGGAAGTTTGTGCCAGAAGGATCCTTAATGGCCAGAGAGAGCAGGAGACTGGCCCAGGGTCACCCAGGGGTGGCTGCGCTGAGCCTCTGGAACCGAGGACCCAGCTCACGGCTCTCCTTTTGGTTCCATGCCATTGGCCTGTGCGGTGTGCCGGGGCCCGGCCCAGAGGGGTCTGCGGGCCGTGTGAGGGGTCAGACTGGTGTTGGTGCCTTGCCCAGGAATGGTGACAGGATCTGGGTTGGGAGGGAAGGGAGGTCTCGGATGGCCACACGCGGGGACACCGTGGATCGGGCCTCTGTCGGCGTTTGCGCAGTTGTGTGACCCGTGGCGGCTGGGGGGTGCAGGAGAGGTTGTGTTTGGAGGGAGGGCAGTCAGAGACCTCCTGAGAGGGAGTTTGCCATATTTAAACTCTGACACCTTCTAAGCAAACAGGGAGAGAAGGTGCTTTGCACTGGGGAGTCTATGGTGAGGTCTGCTGTCCCCTTCCCTGGAGCCTTACTGCCCCGCCCACCTGTGCTCCCCACCCGGGAGCCATCGATGGCAGATGCAGGGAGGATGGCGAGAGGGGCTGCGGTTTACCCTCTTCGGAGCACAGTAGATTTGTTCTCTTATTGTCGGAGGAGCTATTCTCATTGCCACTTAACAGGTGCAGAAGCAGAGGTGCCCCGGGGACAGGTGAGCCCCTGTATCATAGTATAGGGATGCACACTCCCTCCCTCCAGCCCCCTTTCACGTAATCGGGTCAGCCACTGCCCTGAAAGTGGCTCCAAGAAAGCCCTGGACACCCTTCTAACTCCTTCTCCCTGACCACTGGGCACCGATCAGCTCGGCACTTGCATAGCAGACCCCGTAACTGGGTGCCCTCGATGGATTTGCCCTCCCAGTCCTCCCAGGACTCACACCTTCCACCGTGGAGATTGGTTTTTCCTAATAAAGTTGTTGAATGAAGAAGGCACAGACAATATGGTGCGAGGGCCCAGACCAAAGAGGAGGGGGCCTTGGAGATGGGCCTTCAGAGGGGCCACGTTTTCATTTGAGGGCACTGTGACCAGAGACACGGAAGTGGGGACCAGACCCCTGGCCTGGGCTCCTATTCCCTATTGCTGCGTCTGGCTCTAGACAAGCAAAGGAGAGGGTGTCTGGGCGCAGTCTAGTGCCAGGCCTTTCTGCACCGCTGCTTTCGAGACTCTAGAAGCTTTGCCGACGAGCTGGTTCTGTTCCACACTCCCCCCCCCCACCACTCTGATCTTTCAGCCTGGGGGCAAGGCTTTCCCACAAGCCCCAAAGAAAGACACCATCTGAACTAACTGAGCGACCATCTGATGCCCCTGAGATTCTGACTTAATTGGGCTGGGGAGGAGCCCACAGTTATCGGTCTTTTTTAAAGCTCTCCATGGGGATTCTGATGTGATGTGCCGCTAGGGTGGAGAACCACTACCCTGTACTGATCTTCATGCTACAGTGGTAAACTGAGGCCCGGGGCAGGGCGAGATCTTACTCAAGATCACGAGGACGCTGGCAGAACCAGGACTTGAATCCGCCCCTGGACTTCTGGGCCGGTGTTCTTTGTGCTCGCGCACAGGGCCCAGCCAAAGCATGGCCTCCTGGACTCCGTGTGGGGTGGGTTCAGCTACTGCTGCCTTGCCGGCATGGGGTCTGTCCGATTCCCATTCTGTCCCAGCTGCCAGCCCTGTTCCAATGCATGATGGTGCCAGGGTAGCTACAGGTGGTGCCCCCCCCACCCCCGCCCATCTCATCTAAGACTCAAGGTGTAGGTTGAGGTTGGGTACGCGGTTTGTTGCCGTGGAGATGTCCCTCTGGTGGTGGTTGGAGGGGAAAGCCGGTTCATCCTGGGAACCTGCCTTCCCCCTTAGGGTATAGCTTCCTTCCGCTGTATAGCTCATTCCGCTTTGCAGACGCTTTCACTTGTACGGTTACAACCTAGGGGCTCGTGGATGATTGAATGGAGTTGGTTAGTGTTTTGAAACACTTAAGTGGTGGGCCGGGGAGAGAACGGGCGTCAACGTAATGAGGGTTGACTTGGTGGCCTCCCTACGCCAGGTGCTCTACATCCGTGTCATCGGTGGTCTGAAACCGGGGGCTGTTTTGCTTGGGGGCACTTTGGGGTTGTCACATCAAGCCAGGGAGGCTGATACACATCCTAACTACCCAGGATGTCCGTCCCACTCACCCACAAAGAATTTTCTAGCCCCAACTGCGAATAGTGGTGAGACTGAAAAACCCCCATGACTTCCTCCTGGCTGCCCTGGGAGGTGGCGCTAAAATCACGAGCCTCATTGTCTAGACGGGGAAGGGGGTGGGCACCAGAGGCTCAGCCCCTAATTCCAGGTCTGTCTGAGTGCAAGGCCCGGACCACGGTCCCTATCTTGGCCGGGTAACAAAGCCCCGACCTTCCTTTCGCCTGAGCCGTGGCGTTCTGGGTAGGTGACACGGAGAGGTAAAGGCTGAAGGATCTCTGTGCCCCTAGCCCCCTGCTGTGGTTTTGGGGGCGGCTGGAGGAGTGAACGGGGCTCCAGTTTCCCCTCCATGTGTTGGGTTCCTCTCTTGGGTTGCTCTTGCTCAAGCGGCCCCTGGCTCCTCTGTTCACGTGGAAGCCAAGGTCACCCCTGGTCTCCATCAAAAGGGAACTTGTCTCCCGGTGGCTGCTCACGGAGCGCTCGCGTCCTACCCACGAGCTGCCCAAAGGTCACCGCAGCTCGCCCCGAAACGAGCTGACCCCAGCTGGAGGGGAGCCTACACCCACATCCGGCGGAAGGCGGGGACGGGGCCTGGGGAGGACTTGGAGGCCGGGGAATGAGACAAAGAGAGCCGCAGGGCAGAAAACGCTTTCTGTGACCACACCCTAATCGCTGGCATCGCCCGGCGAGGAGATTGAAACATCCCCCTGTTTCAGTACTCTTCCTGTGAGCCATCTGTAACGACCTTGGCCCGGTCCGAACCCCAGTAAGGACCCTTTTTCCCTCTTCGGGGCTTTAACACTCTTCGTCACTCTGCTTTCCCCTCTCTGGTGACAGCCCCGAAGGTGGGGTGGTTGTCCCTCCTGACCCGGCTGGGGAGAGAGGCCGGGAGGGGCTGAGCCAAGCGCCCCGGCTGCCGGGGCCAGCCAGGGCCACCCAGGGCCACGGCAGGGCCCGACACCGGGCCGTCCGGCGCGGGCCGCGTTTCCACCCACTCCGCCGCACCTCTGCTGCCCGCCTGCCCTCTGAGGAGTAGTGGAAGGGGCCTCTCGCTAGGAGGAGGGTGTGGTGGTGGTGAGCAGGCCAGGGTGCCCGGGTGCCTCCTGGCTCCCCAGCTGGGGGCCGGCAATTAGGAAGGAGGAGGACCGCCCGCGCTGACGGTCATTTACCCAATTGTGCTTTGTGGGATATTCAACCCAAGGAATGTGGCGCCCCTGGCTGAGCGCAAGAGGAAGCCCAAGTTCTCCAAGGAGGAGCTGGACATTCTGGTCACGGAGGTGACCCACCACGAAGCGGTTCTCTTTGGGAGGGAGACCATGCGGCTGTCCCATGCCGACAGGGACAAGATTTGGGAAGGCATAGCTCGGAAAATCACCTCCGTCAGCCAGGTGCCCCGCTCCGTCAAGGACATTAAGCACAGATGGGATGACATGAAACGGAGGACCAAGGACAAGCTGGCCTTCATGCAGCAGTCTCTGTCGGGCCCCGGGGCCGGGGGCCGGGCCCCCGCCATCGTGCTCACTGCCCACGAGAGGGCCATCGAGTCAGCGCTGCTCACGGCCCGTTCTGGGCACAGCTTCCCCAGGGCGGAACTGGACGGCACCGACAGCCCCTCGACCAGCTGTGAGTACCACCTGCCTCCCTCCCCGGGCTCCCGCTGCCCAGCCTCCTCCTCCCCTGCCGTCCCCCCCTTCCCTGGCCTTCTCCTGTCTCTGTCCCTCTCCGTCTCGTCCAGTCTTCCCATGCACCCTTCCCTCCTTCCCCCGCTCTGTCTTCTCCACCCCTTTCCGTTCATTCATTCTAGAATATTTCCTGAACTCTGTGCCAGGAGCTGTGCTAGGAGCTGGGAAGACAGCGTTGTATATAAATCCTACACGGGCCCCGCTCTGGGGTTGTCCCTAGACTCGTGGGAATAAACAAGCTTTAAGTCATTGTACAAGGACAGTTGTAATGAAGGGATGAAGGGCGAACGCCGGAAGTCCTGAGAGCGGGGCTGACGACCCGGGCCACCTGCGCAGTGTCCCTGGGGCCCTGCACGTGCAAGGGCACCGTGCGGGGGGTTCATGCTCTGCTGTTGGCCTCCTGAAATTCACACTGGGTTTTGAACACGGTGCCCTGTATTCAAGTGTTGCATTTGGCCGTGCCAGTTATGTAGCAGCCCTGCCTGAGAGCAAGGGGGCCGGGGAGCTGGCTGTCCTCGGGGGCCGGGGAGGGCCTCCCAGGAGTGACAGTTGCACTGACTTGCGAAGGGTGAGTAAGAGTTAACCAGGCCTCGGCATGGGGCGCCGGGAG